GTCCCACATCCGAGGTCGCTGCAACTGAGACTGCCGCTCCGGCAGACGTGAGTGGATGCAGTGCACSGACAGAACCCTCGTCCCACACTGCCGGGAGAGGACTGATCTCTCCCTGAACCTCGGGATGAYGCATCAACGGTGCTGGACCCTGTTGCGATTCTGGGACTGCTGCGGAAGGCCCCATCGGAGCTGTCGCGTGCATACTCGAAGTGTCACCTCGTGGATGACCGATCCCGCCATGCAGCTCGATCCGCTCCTCGCCGCCGTGATCGCTGAAAGGGTTCTCAGAAACTGGAATCTGCCCAGTTGCGGGGACTCGTGATAGTGGAATGCTAGCAACCCCACCATGACATTTGCGCACACGTGAAGCGATAGTGTCTTTTTCCCTTGGTCCGCGTTTCAAGCGCCTCAGATCACCGCCCGAGACAGGTCGTGAACCATCATCATGCACTCCATCTCGAGCGTSATCTACTGCTGTGCGGTGCTCGCCCCCTGCCCCGTCGGCACGCATCGTGTCACCATATGCAGGTCGTGGCCTATCTCCTCCGTCACCGTGATCATCGCCACTGGCGCCATCGTCGTCGCCCACGTTCGAGTGACGGTCGTCGAAATCACTGTCGCCATCCTGTGCAGGCCTGCCAGTCCCAAAGAAATCCTCGTCATCGCTGGAAGAGCTCTCGTACAAAAAGTCTCCCTCATCCCATTGCTGTCGAGGCTTGCGTACTAGCTCGTCCACTGCCCTTCCACGACTCGCGACACTACGCCTCCCGCCAGGACCTCCACGCCCGCCTCGCGCGCGACCGCCCCGACGACCACCTCCGCGACCCCCGCCACGACACCTCCTCCTGTCAGACTCCCGCAAGCGACGAGTGGCTCCCATGTGGGACACGACGCGCATCCTCTCTCTCGCCTGCGTCAACTCCTCCTTCGTGACCGTCACACGGGCTCCTCGGTCTGCCACAAGCTGCTGGTCGGTGGGCAYCTCCTCCTCCACCTGCTGCCAGTAGTGCACCCAGCTCCCATACGGATGTGGCCTGTCACTGGGAGCATCGTCCGACATAGCCTGCCTGTCGAGGAGCCGAAGTTTCCAATGGCATCGCACGAGCTTCTCGGTCTGCGCCACCTCCAATCTGTTACGAGATTTGGAGTGGATGAAACTCCAACGGGACCAAGCTCTCTCGCAAGGCGACGCAGTCGCCCGCACACGCAGTATCCTGCCAGCGAAGAAGGCCGTGTGCGGGAACCTCTTCTCCTTCGACTCCCAGAAACAKGCTGGATGGGTATAGCTCCTCGCCGCCTGGTCCATGGCCACGTCGTTGAACGGCGGCTCCCTGGAATGGAACTTGTCAATGGCAGTGAGGACCTCGKTGTGCTGATCCGAATGTTCCGGGTACCCAAACTGAATCAGAGCGAGTTTCAAACCGTGCTGCATCTCCTCGTCATCTGGCATCGTGCGGTCTCGAAACTCGGGGTCCAACATCATGGCAGCAACATGAGCAGGCGA